CAGATGATAACGTTGCATAATGCAATTTTCAGTTTTTGCAGATCGACATTAATAGCGATCATTTGAGGTGCGCAAAATGTATTGTGTTCTCGAATGATGACTACATGCATTGAGCATATACTATGCAACGGGTGACTGTCATAGAAAATGGATGAGGGAGCTGCCTGCTTCTTTTGAGCAATGCAAAAAGAAATAAAGCGAAGTATTGGGAAAAACGAAGAAAAAATGATTATTCTGCTCCAAAAAACAACTCGTGCTAATTTTTTTTTCGACTAATAAGGTTGCTGACTAGGTTCTTGCAATAGCACTCCCCGCTTGATCACATCAACTCACAAGTAATCGATCACAATCGATCGATTGAAAACCCATAGGATGTTCCCGTATTAACTGGCACATCCTATGGGTTTTTAAACGAAAAGCACTTGAAATCATCAAGTGATCTGAATCTCTATAATATTGTCTGTTGCACTGGTGATTACAAGTTCTGAGAGAGAATGCGTGAAAATTATTCACATTCAAAAGATATTTGAAATGCTGACCAAAATGATCAAAAAATTTAGATGTTTGAAATGATCTGCTCATCTCCACGAGCATTTTTTCATCCACTGCTCACAAATGTGGTTTCATCGAATTTGGGGCTGTCTTCATTGAAATAAAAAGAATTCGATACTATTATTGATTCGTGTCATTTCTTTGAAAGGTAGTGTAGCCGACTGCGTTTGAATCAACAAGAGTTGTTCATGATTATAAACACACTTACTTTACAAAGCTAATCAACAAATACCGTTAAAATGTCATCACGTTACGGTATATATGCACCACTTTGTCATTTCATTGAAAAAACCCTATGATGTAAGTATTCAGATCACCTAGGACAAACACAAAACATCATGCGAAACGCATGGAATGATTACTTCTTATCAGCGCTCTTGTTTCGTGATCATTTCATAAACTGTAACATTTGTGCATCATTCATCGATCCGTCATATTGGGGGAATATCGAATATTACTCAATGCTGCAACTTTAAGTTTCAGTGAAACTGTCAGTCGAACGCAATTTACGATTCAGAAACTGCTATTGTCCGGTAGCTTCTTCATGAATTTCGCCTTTATCTCCATCTATGTTGACAAAACGAACTGAATTTATAGATGCCAAATCCGAAACACAAAATTTTCAGCTTCTACGGACTGCTTGAATAGACGCATCTGCAAAAAATATTTCATCTCATTGTCGAGAACGAAAAATTTACCGATCATTTTCTAGCTATTACGCATCTTATTTGCCTTGAAAACTGACTTGGAGCTCCGAATTTGCTTACATTTGCTCATTTCATTCAAACAATCGATTATCTCCTTGAAACGATTCCTTTGATAATGATCTTTAATCATTCCTTTAACGATTTGACGCAAATTTTTATGCGAAAAACTCCATCGAGCAGTCAACCAATAGGCATGTGAATGTAGCATGAACAAGGGAATATATCAGAGTTCAAAGGAATATATCAGTAGACATATGATTATATTAGAGTTCAAATCGATGAAAAAATGTTTTATCTAGGCACAGACATCGCATCAACGTTCATTTGGTAGGTCACAAAAATTCTCATTCAAGAAATTTGGCGACTGAAATGAAATTCTCATAAATCAGTTCTATAAAGCTTAACAAACNAGGGGGATGTTTGATGCTTTCTTTTTGTTTTGTCATATGAATGGCAGCCTTAATATCTCGATAATTAAAAATTGAAAAAAAGGCAATCGAATTCAAATGTTCAATTATCAACTATCAAAAAGCAATCGCTCGCCATTTGTTCCTCTATGGAACATTGATCATCTAAAAAGGTTGTTTAGTTTGTCGCAGCCATAAGAGATTTTTAGTGCATGCAACTGTATTCAATCGCTATTCAATGTGTTTGGATGAAGGGGGATGGTGGCAATTCGTTGACAGCTTTGAGACGCTCAAGTGCTTTTCCTGAACTCCTTCGTCCGCTGATCGCATCAATGAATTGTCAATCGCCCCACTGAATATGACTCACTGATTTTACTTTTTGCTAAATAATCACATTCGACTTCGCACCATTAAATCAGTTACAAATTGTAAGGCAATCTCAAACTTCAAACAAACAATTTATCCACTGATTTCTATCAGAGAACAACAAGTGCACGATTGCGTTTCCATCAACGCTAGCGCGACTCTACAATAATGAAATAAAGTTGTCAACTACTCTTCATCAACCCACTCCAATTATTTCTCAGTTTTGTCCATTTTTTCAAGTTGTTCACAAACAAATTTAAGCAAATTTAAGCTCAGTTATCATTTGTGCAAAACGAATGACAACTGAGACAAGGAATTCAGCGTACAACTTCGTGCGAAGCCACCAATGGTAGAAGCTAAAACAACGGAAAAAGTTTTGGCAAATTTCTAAAGCAATTTCAGCAATACGATCAAAATTTTCATGTAACTTTCAGCACAATAACTATATCGGCATAACCCAAACAATGTTCTCATAACAACAACACTGACGATAAAATATATGATAAATGACTAGTTAAAATTTCAATGAGGGAAGAAAGTCACATAATGAGTCAATAATGAGTAAATACATAAGACATGTAGTTTCAACTGTGTTATTCCAAA